TTTTTAAGTTTGTCAGTCAGCAGTATAAAGCCTGGTCAGTCTTCCTTATTTGCAAACTAGTCTCGGATATGTAAACTGTCTAAGATATGCAAACTGGTCTCTGATATGCAAACTGGTCTCGGATATGCAAACTGGTCTAGGATATGCAAACTGTCTAAGATATGCAGACTGGTCTCGGTCTGGCGGATATTCAAACTGGTCTTGTGGTCTCAGATATGGAAATTGGTCTTTGCTAGGCAAATTGGTCTTGGATATGCAAACTGGTCTCAGATATGCAGACTGGTTTTGGATATGCAAACTGCTCTTGTGGTTTCAGATATACAAATTGGTCTTTGATATGGAAATTGGTCTTGGATATGCAAACATGTCTTAAATGTGCAAACTGGTCTCGGATATGCAAACTGGTCTTGGATATGCAAACTGATCTTGGATATACAAACTGGTATCGTGGTCTTGATATGCAACTTGATATTTGATATGCAAATTAATCTCGAACATGCAAACTGGTGTGGGACATGCAAACTGTTCTTAGATATGCAAACTGTATTGGATATGCAAACTGGTTTTGGATATGCAAACTGGTCTTGGATATGCAAACTGGTCTCAGATATGCAGACTGGCCTCGGATATGCAAACTGGTCTCGGACATTCAAACTGGTCTGAGGCATGCAAACTGGTCTTGGATATGCAAACAGGTTTCACTCTAGACTAGTGGTAAAGACTTACCACTTTCAGGTCCAGCAAAGTAACTAAGGGTTAATTGTAATGAACAGTTATATGATTATTGTCTTTTGTTTACTGCAATAGATGGCCAGACACATTAATGATATACCATTTCCAGTCCTAGAAAATAAAACATACAATAAATATTAACCAGGATACACCATATAACTGACAGACTACAATACAACCACAGCAATAGCCTGAATGTGGTATACTTTCTACCTTTATGTTGAATGGTGCCTGTTAGATCTATGGTCAGGTTCTATGAATTACTATATTAGATATAGCATAAATAGTTTTCTCTCTTAACTTATGGCATTAGTTTGATTAGTTTCATTGAAGCACAACTGTGAATATAGATCTTGCAACTAAATCACATTCCCCTTGTGGCTGAGGGGTAGCCTTTACAGATTGAGGCATCAGAATTACAGCTGCATTTTAACCCTATGTGATCATAAGAAACGACTTTATAATTTTGAATTATTAGAATCTATGCAACTTTTAACTCTTACCAGATTAGAAGGTTTTGACCCCTGGTGTTGCTTAAAGTTTTTTATTCCCAAGGTGAGCCATAATCATTTTTTCAGTTTCCCCGGTGCCATGATGACCCTACACTGTGTTGTTGCATCGTTAAACCAAACCATATCAGACAAAAAAACTTAAATTGCACTTCACATACTGGTATTATTTAACAGTCCTACTATTACCCAGCTTCTGTCAAACATGATTTAAAAAAAATCTGAATGGCACTATTAGATTATTTCATCTATTGCCTTTCCCAGAGGGTATGGGTTTGAGAATTTATAAGATCATCACCATTATTTTATTAATCGGACACCGATACTCGGTCAAGTTTCAAACAGAGATTTAATATATCGTAACGTACAAAAAGTTCAAAATTAAATTTGAAAAAATATGTTTAAACTATTGAGCCTATTTTAAGATAGATCTGTTTAAACCTTAAAAGAACACATAGCTATAAAAAAGTTTATGATTACTGTCTGTAATGATGTAAAATAAATAGAAACATTAGACAACCATTGTAATGTTATGTTACCTACTCACAACATATTAATTTGAAATGATTTTCAGATAAAAAGTAGTTCCACACGAAAATAGTCCATGAGTTTTGTATATGGATTCAACAGATGATGAATAGTTATTGGCACAAAGTTTTAAGTTACTTTTTTGTGTCGTCTGCAAATTATTTTCTCGAAATTTTATAATGTAACAGACGCAAACTGCCATTTTATTGGTCTTAAGTTGGTACATTTCCTTGTAGTTTTTCCTTATATGCACTTGCAGCAATAAAAAGGTAGGTTTGGAGAATATTAAGGCTATTTAAAGTACTAATTTGCCAGCTAGTTGAGGGTAATGTGTAAGAAAGACATTAGAAAAAGAATGTTTTTATTTCTTTTGGCAAGGAGTTTTTAGTATTTAGACAAAAGTGTATGTTTTCTTTCTAACCTCTTTGAGTGAACATAGACATGTGCTTTAAGTCACACCAGTGGAGTAATTTAACTGATTGTGGAAGACAAAAAGAATCCAACCACTAATGGGGTTTGAATGTAGATTTATCTGATTGTAAAACACAAAAAGAATCCAACCACTTATAGGGTTTGAACCTACAAATTTAACTGATTGTGGAAGACAAAAAGAATCCAACCCTTTGTGGGGTTCGAAACCTATAAATTTAACAGATTGTGGAAGACAAAAAAAATGGCAGAACTTGTGGGGTTCAAACCTACAACCTTCTGCTTAACCCTTTCACTGCCATAGGGACGGTTCATGCCGTCCCTGTTATTTTCGGCGTATTTGCCATATGGACGGCTTTAGCCGTTTCTGTAATAATAATAGTAATAATAATAAATTAATAATAATAATAATGAAAATAATAATAAATATAAAGAAAATTATACCATTGACAATAATTATTATTATACTCACAGATTTGGAAACACATATAATTATTATAATACTAATAATAAATAATAATAATTATATTAATTAATAATATAGTCATTTCTTAGAAAACCCTCTGGCAAATAGGTAATCAATAAAACAATAACCCTCTGGCAGCGAAAGGGTTATGAGTCAGGTACTGTACCCCTATACCATTCTTCTTCTACAAGTTTCCACAAGTGGAGGGTAGCACTCTTTCTTCACAGGTCTCTACAAGTGGATGGTAGCACTCTTTCTTCACAGGTCTCTACAAGTGGAGGGTAGCACTCTTTCTTCACAGGTCTCTACAAGTGGAGGGTAGCACTCTTTCTTCACAGGTCTCTACAAGTGGAGGGTAGCACTCTTTCTTCACAGGTCTCTACAAGTGGAGGGTAGCACTCTTTCTTCATAGGTCTCCACAAGTGGAGGGTAGGTGTCAGACCCCATGGATGGCTTTAAACTGTTTTCATAAGTTGTTAAATCCTTACTTAGTGCTCAAAGAATTAAGGAACTTAATGGCAATGCACCCAATTTATGAGCTATTTTACCTTGTAAAATTAATGGCTTGCACCCACTTTACTAGCAATTTTTCTTACGAAAATTAATGGAAATATTTAAATATTTGAAGCCAGACTACTTGCCATTTGTACTTTAGAAAATTTATGGAAATATTCAAATATTTGTAGCCACTTTTCAAGCTATTTGAAATTCTATGCTTAAAAGTGGTGACTTTAAGTGCTAAATTACAATACAATAAAACTTTCTGTCTAAAGTAGTTTTAAATGTTCTGATATTACTTTGAGGCAAAATATACTCGCACATGCATATAATCATCTAAGCAGAGGAAAAAAAGAATAGAAGATGACAACAATGCATTATTTTGTATTAGAATGACGCCATTTTACTTTTCAAAACTCTTATCTGTCGACCCAAGTTTCTTAAAAGCATTTTCCTATATCGGACTCACAGAGGAATCATCAGACCTGCAAGAATAGGAAAAAAAAACATAAAAAAAAACTGTACAACACTTGATTAATCCCCTTAGAATTCCATTGAAAGACAAATACCAATTTCGTCTCCAATGCTTACTCGTAATATCAGGATAGTTTTAATAAGCCAGTTACATCAGTTGTGCACCGTTTACTTCAAAATACAGAAATCTCAATAAAATCCTCAGGCACATAGTTTCATTTATACAGATATTCAGTATTGATATATTGCTCTGCAAATGGGCAAATAAATTGATTGATAGCATTTCTGGTTTCCGCCATTATGCAAGAGTGATTGCTGCATTCACATTGTGTGTCAAGGCTGAAATTGCTCAAAAGATCAAAAATGAAATGTATCGTAAAAAAATAAAAATTCCCGTGCATTACAAAATGCATCATTGCTTTAAACCACAAGAGTATTAACCAACAAGTTATCTTTATTGAAATCTTCAAAGGTTTGCTTGAATTCATTCATAATCGTGTTCAGAAAAAAATGAAATCATCAGCATTTACACTTTATTTCTGGGTCTTATTTCTGACGATCTTGCACATTTGATTTACCCTGCTTTGATGTTGAATTTAACATTCATATATTGCCAATTTTCTGGAAGTGTGATTAGGAACATTATTGTTACTGCTTAAAAGACCACATACTGATGTCATAGGACTGTCATAATAGGAATGGAAAACCTATGAGTTAACCGAAACTAATACTCATATCATAGTCTGGAAACCTTTCTGTTGAAAATGTGTCAGAGTTAAATCGTATACATGCACAGTGCGTAAACTGGATTGCAGGTATTAGTTACCCGCACCACAGAGCATACCTATTTATTGGCTTATTTTTTTTCTGGGGTCTTCTTGTTGTGACAGCAGAGAAAGGGATAGCAATTGAAATATCATATTCATATGCTAGTTCATTTGTTTGTTTTTTTCTGCCCACCCTCCCCTCATACAAATCAAATAGCCTCATCATGGTTCAATGGCTACACCCCTTGTTCAAATCAGAGGGCATCATGTTTGGATGCTCTTTCTATAACTTACGCCCTGATAATGTAACAGAAATATTTTGCCGTTTTGTTTGACTTTAAATGCACATTTGGTATATTACAAAAAAAAGAAAATACATAGTGAGATAATTTAAGTAAGGATCCGATCTGATTTCTTTTCATGTCACAGATTTCTGTAAAAGACATGTGTACATTTGCAGAATGTGCAGCCAACAAAATAGATTTTGGTGGGACGGAAACTAAATATCTGGTTGAAATAGGCCAGTATGGCTGGCACATGCTGTTTCCGTCATTCGTATTACTGAAATAAACACGAATGTTTATTTTATATTTTCAGAATGTTACCACGGAAATAAAGCAGAAGACGTTATTGGAACATTAGTTAGACTGTGATATATTGGAGGGGAGCTAACTCCATGATCTTTCAATAATAAACGAGGGTACATCTTGTAAGGTATAACGAGGTCCAAAATTACGTGCCAAAACAATGGCTTCTTTCATCGCAAAGCAGATGGTAGGAAATCAGCTGAAGTCAGTAAAAGGTAATTTTTTAGTAAATTTTTATTTATGTATCAGTCCGTATCAGTTTTCCGTTAATGTCTTGGTCGCTAATTATTCCTGCAGTTTGCTTATTTACACAGCAACTCAGCTAGTAGATTAAAATAATTTGCAAAGTCATTAAATGCTTAGATAATGTCAATAAATTACAAATTTGTACCAGTGTGTCAATTTGCTGGTTCAGTTGTCTTCCTTTATTAAAATAAAAAATAAATCCATATATATATATATAGAGAGAGAGAGAGAATAATTATTCCAGCCTTATAAGACATTTTTTTAGTTTTTGTAAGCTCGACTTTTTTTGAAGAAAAAAATATAGGTATTGTAACAGTCATGTCGTTGTTGCCGTTGTTGTTGCCCTTGCCGTTACTGTCTGCAAACTTGTACCTTGATCATATTTTTTTAAGTTCTTGGTGTATTGTCTTCATACTTGGCCACAACAAACCTTTGGACAAGAACTTTCAGTAGAGTCAACTAACTTTGACCTTCATCCATAAATGATATATATATATATAATCGCTTTATTTGACTATTACTTTGTAATTAAACATTGGATTATTAGATTATTATATATGACCTTGACCTTTAGGTGACCTTGACTGTCAAATGATTATTTAATTTCTTAATGGATTGACTTCATACTTGGACATAACAACCTTTTAAGTAAACCAGACTGAACTTGGCCTTTGGTTTTTTTGCTATAATTGGCTGCAAATTTGTTATTTATGAGTGGTTTTTCTTCATACTGGGACACAATTATCCTTTGGACAAGACCTTCAAGAAGACAAAATTGAGTATGACCTTCACTCATCAATGACTTTGACCTTGAAGGTCAAATTGTTGTAATGTCACTTTTTTGCTATAATTGGCTGTAATTTTGTAAATAATGAATGCATTGACTTTATACATGTACACAACAATCCTTAACCTTTCTTAGGACAAGACAATAAAGAAGATTTAATTGCACTTGACATTGACCTTAATTGGACTTAACACTTATGGTTGAATTAGTGAATTTTGCTACAGTTGGCCATAACCTTATTAATTTATGGATTGATTTATACTTATACAAAAGAACACTTATGACAAATCCTGTATGTTGAATAATTCAAATATGACCTTGACCTTTATTTGATGTTCTCCAAGATCAAATTATTGAAATTTGTTTAAATTGTCATATGTTTGTTATTTATTTCAATCATGGTTCATACATTTGTACTTGGATAAAAGAACACATTTGACAAAACGGATATGTTGAATTATTCTGATATGACCTTGACCTTAATTTACCTTTACTGTCAAAGTCAAATTACAGAAGTTTACATGAATTGCCATAGCTATGTTATTTACTTACAGATTTTATTCATGCTTGGACAAAAGAACATGTATGACAAAACCAACATGATGATTAATTCAAATGTGACTGCCATGATGATTAATTCAGATATTACCTTGACCTTTAATTGACCTTGACAATTAAGGTCAAATGTGAAATTTTATTTTATTTGTTGTAAAAAATGTTTTGCAGGGGTACTCTACTAAATCAATGCGATCAGTACCTTAAAGCTGCCTTTATCTATTATTTCTCGCTCATTTTTTTCGTCTTCTTTTTTTTAAAATAAAAAGTTTTAAGTTCACAACATTTTGATGCTATTTGTTTTGTTCTTGAATGAACAGATTCATTTACAGGTCAGTATTTACTAACATTGTTAATGATATGTATACTAAAATACTAAATGGGGAATATTGGCATTTCAACAACAAAGTTGGCTTTGTTTGTTCTCTGAATAACCCCTTGTGTGAAAATATTTTAACACTATTTATAGAAGTAATTTCACTGTTTTCACCTAATGAAGTAAATAACCAAGGATGGTCTTTTAACTTTTAGGTGCTTGATTAATTCTGTAAATAATTCTTTTGTGAATATCACTGGTGTATTATATATCTATATTATAAAAACCTTTGATAAATAATTATTTCTGTAGAAAGTGATAGCCTTTTTGCCCTTCTGGGTTATTTATTTTCTCGCCTACAGATTAACCATGTATTCGGAAACAAATATTTTATAAACAGATATTTTATTTTTATGTTAGCTACAAATAAATTTAACATGTTTCCTTAAAAAAGACTTTCAGTGATTTTTTTTCAGTTAAATGGAAAGAGGCCTAAGACTTAGCCACTTGATTTTGGGAAAAATTATCGCGAAATTTTGCTAATTTGGGAAGTAAAAAAGCAGGTTTAAGTTCAAATTTTTTGGAAAGCTGCATGATTTTAAAGAAAATTTCAATTGGGAAGAGGCCTTTTATCAGAGTCTGTTATATAAGCAGAAAAATCACTGATTTACTTGCTGAATGAAATCAACAAGTTTGTGGTTTGGTGACTGAGTTATGATCCCCGACTAATACACTGACACCCTACTCTTCTTTATTAATAATTGTTTATTATTATTAATTTAGTAATCATTCTGAGTGGCTTTATTGTGTATATTTATTTTCATTCACCACTTGAAATCTATCTGTCATATTTATGTTTTTGGAAGATAGGGCAAGGTTACAGAGATTCTCTGGCCCTGAAATAGTCATTGATTCTGTAAGGTCAGCAAAATATAAAGCAGCTGTAGACTTACTCTGGAATTAGGAATATTTTGCTTTTTCCCAGCTATTCTGGGGGTACAAACAAACTCTTACAGTGACAGTTTCGAAAAATAAGTGCACAACAGCTTGAAATATATCTATCTTGTACCTGGGGTGGGGGGAGCTGGGGATTATAGCTTGGACAATACCCACATTTGCTGAGTTCCGGATAACATCTTTTATACAAACCTTGGTTCAATCTTGGTTCTCTCTATCTGCTCATATAATCATTCAATAGAAATTATAAAGAAAAGTGTGTCAGAACTAGAAAAAATATTTCAGAAATGAACAGACATTACTGTAATGTGTTATTTTATTTAGACAGAACCAATCAAATATTGATGACAGTGATGATTATCTGTTACAAATTGGTATGAGCATTTTGTATGGAAATAACATTTAATATAAAAATACATGTATACACCAGAACATTAATAAAAAAGAAAACAACAACAATTTTATTCATTATCAGCCATGGCAGCTAAGTTTTCTATTGATTGTATACATGTATATCAATCAATGACTGCGTGCAATAGTGTCATATACTAAGTTAAATAACCACAAAGATAAGTCATTGTCGCAGCATGTGTTACTTAGAATGGAAGATTTCAGTCACCTGAGGTCTCTTACTGAACTTTTCACCCTCAAACGTTTCCTGGACTTAATTTGATATATCTCCATTTGTGGCCATCTTAATTCTGCTATTAATATATATCTTATTTATGACACACTGGAAAAGTAAGTGATGATAACATTTAAATACTATATTTAAGCAATGTGTTAGACAGCTGATTGATTTACTTGAATTATACATGTATGTGTACATGTATATTTTAGCTCAACTAAGAATAGCAAACTGTCTTTGGGCAGGTCTTGTTTTAACATTTTGAAGTTATCTTAAAATGAATTTGTTTATACCTTATTTATTTTTGTTTGTGTAGAAAACAATAAGCTTATAGGTAAAAGACACACATTCAACCTCATTCCAGGATTTTACCAGCTGGTACTAAGCTATAAGTATAAAGTTTCTTGCAACAGCTTGCCCTGTCCCCCTGACAGGGTTGAACCCATGCTGTCAGCAAATTTCTTAGATTACTAGTCTGCTGGTTTAACCATTCAGCCATGCCACCCCTGAAAAAGATTGACAAGACAAATTTTCCAATTGTTCCTTACTTTGATTTTTAATTTCTTTAAGGTTTTTTTAAGCAATATATATGAAAAAAATGTAATCATTTAAAAAATTTTGTAAACAACTTCTTGTCTTTTACTTGCTGGTTTTTCTTTATACAGAATTATCCATAGTTGTACCTTGTTCTTTAACAGTTATACCTTCTTCTTTAGCTTTTCTAAATTATTCTTCTGAGTTTATTAATTGCATTTCGACCAGCTACCATTTTTAGCTTGACTATGAAGAATAGGGAGAGCTATTGACATTGCCATCACACTTTTGTAAAGGTTTTGTGTGCTATGTGGTTTTCAAAACTGCTGAAGGAATGGATTGAAACTTCACATATCTTTGAGAGCATGATAGAAGGTCACTCTCCAAAACCCATAAATGTAATATGGACTTTGAAACAATTGCAACATCTTTTGAAAATTCCATGTTATCCAGGCTAATGTTTTACTATCAGGCACTGAATATAGTCAAGCAGGTTGTCCTACTGTCAACTATTAACTGCTGGCACTTTTTGTGAGGTCTTTGAAGCAAGCAGAATTATTCCATGGTCTTAATTAAAATAACCTTCTTGTCAGTAAAGTAGTCCTTTACTTTTACATTTTGAAAATGCAGCAGAAAACATGGACAAATACGAAGAGAAAATACGAAATTTATATAAAGAAATAAAACTGTTATATGAAATTTGCCTAATTTAATTTCACAATTATGTGAAATGAATTTTGCAACATTTATATCCAGAAATAAAAATGTTAAATAAAATTTGCTTAATTTATTTCCAGAAACATGTTAAATGAACATTGCTAAATTTATGGCCACAAATGTTAAATGGATATTAATATCCAGAAACATGTTAATAAATGAATATGGCTTAATTTATATCCAGAAATGTAAATGTTAAGTGGATATTACAAAGTTATATCCAGAATCTTGTTAAATGGATATTGCTTAAGTTATAGCCAGAGAAACATAAGTGCTGAATGTATGTTGCTTAAATTATTGCATAATGCTAAATATAGATTTATATATCAAGAAATATAAATGCTGTAAGTTTATATGGCTTTTATATTGCTAAATAATTTATATCCAGAAATGCTGAAGGTTTGTATAGTAGGATAACTTCTTTAACATTGTTCATAGTGGAAATTCGTACCTTAAAATGAACGGAACAATTTTCTTCCAGTTAAGAATTTGTTGTGGTTCCAGACAAACTGTGTACTGATTGCAAATGTTTATGTTTAACCACAAGATAAGCAAACACCTAGCTCTTAAACAAGTCTGGATTACTTTGCTAATAAATAATCTAAAAAAGAATGTGCCTCATGAACTGCAGTCTGGATTAATTAACTTGCACTGTTGTATATTATTACGTCACAAATTTCCTAAAAAGGTAACTATCAGTGTAAAATGTTTGCAGGTGCTATGGGTGGTGATGATGAGAAAAAAGATGAGGGTGGTGCTGATGATGGTGAGGATCCAGAAGTTGCTGAGGCCAGGAGGGAAGCTGAAGAAAAGCGGAAAGAAAAACACAGGAAAATGGAAGAGGAGCGAGAAGAATTGAGACAGTCTATAAGAGATAAGGTAAGGAAAGTAGGTGAGACTGGCTAGAAGAAACAATGTAAGGAAAGTTGTTTAGACTGTTGTTTAGACTGTCTATAAGAAATAAGATTAGGAAAGAAGGTGAGTCCGTCTATATGAAATAAGGTAAGGAAAGTGGGTGAGATAGTCTATATAAGATAGGAGAGAAAAGTAGGCGAGACAGTCTATATGAGATAAGGTAAGGAAAGTTGGTGAGACAGTCTTTATAAGATAAGGTTAGGAAAGTGGGTGAGACAGTCTATATGAGATAGGATAAGGAAGTTGGTAAGACAGTCTATATGAGATAAGGTAAGGAAAGTTGGTGAGACAGTCTTTATAAGATAAGGTTAGGAAAGTGGGTGAGACAGTCTATATGAGATAGCATAAGGATGTTGGTGAGACAGTCTATATGAGATAGAATAAGGAAGTTGGTGAGACAGCACATAAGCGATTGGGTAAGAAAAGTGGGTGAGACAGTCTATAGAGCATAATGAAGAAAAATGGATGTGCCAGTCTATAAGGCATAGAAATGGTAAGTGAAGTGGATGTTGTGATACATAAGAGATAAGGTAAGTGAAAGTGGCTGAGGCAGTCTATAAGGGGTAGAGTCAAAGTAGTGGATGACATAAATAAAAAAATGAATAAATAGAAAAGATATGACATTTGTTTTTTTTAGATGATTTAATTATCTCAAGGATTAAAGCAGTTGCATTAGTAGACAATCAGAAAAGATGATTCTGGATTTGATATTTGATGTCTGTTTTTATTTCTTCAGTATGGTTTGAAGAAGAAGGTACCAGAAGAAGAGGGAATGATGCAGCCTCCGGAAGAGGCCGGACGTATCGGACGGAAGAAGAAAACACCTGCTGAGCTCGCAGCGGAGGCAAATGCTGATAGTGACGATGAAGATTTCGCAAGTAAATTCTCTTCACTGTGTTGTTGTATGAACTTTGTATAGTACATGCTACTCATATATATATATATTACCTTAATACTGTACTTTACTATAATTGTATACTTTATATATTCTAAACCACCTTAATCGTTCAACTGTATAGGCAAAATGTGTACAGTTCAGAAGTAACATTATTAAATACATCATTTACATCAAATAATCAATCACATCTCTAAGTCTATGTATATACAGTCTAGATCATAATCAAACTTTGAAGAAGATGTAATTCAAATTACAAGTTGTAGCTTTGTGATGTCAAAAACTTGTTGTATAAGTTACAGAGAAAGATATTCTCTTAAAATTGCTGTATGAAATGAATGGATACAGGAAATGGTTGAAGACAATAAATCATTATTTCTCTTTTATTAAATATAAGCAATAATTTATATACAAATAACGAGGATATGATGCTCTGAGAAATCATAGAAGAATATATACTAGGTATCGAAGAGGTGAAATGATAATGTTTAGACAATGATGGTTAATACTGATGGAGTGGTACATATCACTGCAAGTTTGTCTGATGTCGTGTGTCTTGTGCCGTCGTACAGACGTCAGGCAAATTGATCATTTATCATTGTAAATACTAGAGATATTTACTAACATTACGGTACATGATAAGGCATTGACTGCGAGATTATATATGAGGTTAAATGAGAGCTGAACACTACAGTGTCGTTAACCATAATGCACTTCGTGAATAAGATTTTTTGAGATTGTTGTGTTGACCTCGCATTTTTATTGATCGCATTTTTATTGATCGTATACATGTATTTACAAATTAATTGATGCCAAAGTGTGAAAGTGTACATTTTGTTTGTAATATAGGTAAAACATAAGAACATATGTGTAATTTGGTCGAAAAAGACGTTAAAGTTGTTAGTAAATTCTTCAAACAATCAGCATCAGTAAAACAAAAATCTTTGTTTATGGCCTAATTTTTAACTTGCATTTTAATGAATTGAATTTTGAGACAGATTTTTGTTGGGTGATTGTTTGAAAATTAATTATTTTTGTTGCAAAATAATAATATTGAATTCCTTTGGGTGAAAAAATGTAAACGTTCTGTTAATTATTTAAAAAAAAAAAATGAATTGAAAAGAAAAAAGATTGAAATTTAATGAATTTTAAGTTACTTGATTTAGAAATTTTATTATTATAGACACAAAAAAATATGTTGTGATAAAGACAGAGTTGTGAACATTTTTCTGTAGAAAAAAAAAATTGAAAAAAAATAAAAAAATTCACATGTGTTTTAACATGGTGGCTCTGCCATAATGATATTTATAATGATATTTATATTATGTATAATGTGTAATTATTATGTAATGTATATAGACTGTGTAAAGTTGTATATAATATTGATATTAATTTATTGTATTTAAAGAAAAAAAAAGAAAGTTAAAGTTTTAAAAAACCTGAATTCTCATTAAACAACAGTATACTCATGGAAATATCTGTAATATTTGTTTTATGTTTTATTATAATTTATAGGTTAAGTTTAGGTCTGTAAATATTTTTTTTTATTTCAAATGAAATATGCTCATTTTTGTTATATTTATCACTCTACTGGGGAACTGATTTAAATGGCAGTACATTTTGTATTTGTTTATTTAGAAAATAAGACTATAAAATTTAAAATTCTTCAACATAGACTGGTCCATTATGTTTTTTATCACTACTTAGGGAAGTAGACTTGGTCTGCCACCTTCTAAAGATATTTTTTAAGTTAAAAAATGTGCCTGTACAGGATTATGAATTTTGAACAATTACAGACAATATTTTATTTAGCCTTGTAATTTTTTTTATATAGCCTGCTAAAACCAAATGTGATTTGGCCTTTGTAAGAGCCTGACCAGGGTACAAAATGTAGCTCAATATTTGTATTTTGTTATTAAATCCCTTATAATTCAAATGGACTGTTCCAGAGTCAAAGAAGGGCAAATCCCATTACACAAATTCAGGAGATTATGCTATGAGGAGTGGGTCATTTTACCAGACTTATAAGACCTGTCAAAAGATGTAGGGTGTAAGGGGACAGAGGGGACACTGCTAGCTTTATTATGGAATATTTGTTTTAATGTTTTAATGCCAAGTTTTTCAACATTTCATCAACATTAACTTGGCAAAATGAGGAAAAACTTTTTTTATTTTATTTTTCTACAGATATATAATGCTTAATTTTTTTTCTTCTAAGGGTTTAAAACAGAAGAAGCATAACTTTAAGGCTCTGAACTACAAACAAGTTTTAAAAGAACAATTTCATACACTGTCCAACTTTGTTTCACTTTAAATTACATTGCATGTAAATAATCTGATTGAAATGAAATTTTACCATTGAAAAAGATCATTCACCATTATAGAGCCTGGCCAGCTTGCAGATCCACACAGTCTGGACAGACTCTATTCTGTTGGTTGTTAAGTTTGTGTAATTTAATATTGAAATTCTGTAATTTTCAAATGGATTATTCCAATATCCAAGACGTGAAGTTCAACAGTTTAAAGGATGAAAGATGACATTCTGGCATTGGCATAAATTTATAATGTATAATATATTTATAAATGAGAAATATAACTGTAAGAAATAAAATAATTTAATTTTGGCTTTTAGTCACACTTACCACTTACACTGTAAAGACCATATGACAATTTTCTGGTTTTCCTGGTGGAGGAATAAAGTGTGCCCCTTTGTGCATTATTTCAGGCACAATTGGACACCAAGTAGATCAACTGCTATTTTATATGTTTATATTTAGCAAGCTGGGTAGCTTCCACATTCCCCCCCCCCCCCCCCGAAGAAAAAAAAAAAGTAAAATAAGATAATGATAATAATTTGATAGCCAAGCTTTGATATATTAATTTTAGAATACTGAAATAATTAATTTTACTATTTTCATGCTCAGTAATTTTTCTTAATAACCTTTGTTTAAAAACAGTACGAAAGAAATTCCTAATTTAGCTAAATATTTGATTAAGATTTTCTTGAAAATGGACTGATTAGAGGTAGTGTAAGCTAATAATTGAATTATGTTATATGATAAATCAGATATTTACTGAATTAATCATTTGGTTACTATGGCAACATTTGCAAGTTGGTTTTTTTTCCTTCTTCCTATAAAAAGGTCAATTTAATTTGTAGAATAAGTAGGGAAATAATAGGAGTTTTGTACATTATTAAACAACATGCCAGCAAGAACTAAAATGCCAGCAATTACTAAAATATTAGATAACATTTCAGTTTATAATTGGAAAAATTCAGATACAAAGAAAATAAATTAGCCCTAAACATGCAGATCTAAGTCTTTCCCACTGGTAAAAAAGCCAGCCAGGCCAACCTGCTCATCCACTGGTTCAAAATCTCTTTAAATATATTTTGTTCTGTGGGTAAGCACTGCTATCCAGTTAGCTATAAAAAAAGGTTTAGATCGAAGTTCTACTCAAGGGCTTGTCCATGCCTGAAATAATGCAAATAGGGGTACCTGAGGTTGTCTTTCACCTGTAAAAGTTGGAATTTCTCTATATGTCATTTACAGTGTCAAAATGACATTAGAATCTATCCAAAAATAAAAGTGTACCTTGCTTTGTGTATTATGGAAAAAAATTTTGACTTAGAGTGGTTAGAATGAATGAATTTGCAGTAACGTATTTTTAGATTTCAAAACTCTCAATTATATCAAACATATCTAGTTATAATTTTCGTTATTGTCTGATATCGAGTTAATTGTCGTAAATTTCATCTTAAAAGGTACAGCTTGTATGACGCCTTCAGTCGTAAAATTAACGCCAAAATAATCCAATTACTGTCACAGAGATTCTTTTTTGTGCGTCATACAATTTCAGTTATTTTATGTGAAGATTTCTCAGCGGAAAATTGTCAGTCTAAAAGGTTTCTCCTGGCACCCTGGGACTAGTAACACAACCACCATTTCTTATTAATCAACAAAAATGATAATTTGACTGTACGACTATTTTTATGCCAGGAATAAAGTGTAGGAGTGGGTAATGTCTAATTCCTGTCTGTATTATAGTTATGTCTAATTCCTGTCTGTATTTGAGTTGGAAAACCATTTTGTAGACTGTTGCTCATTTCGCGTTGCCTTTTGAGGCTATTGTATTTAATAAGTCTGATATTTATATGGTGTTACAATAGCCTGGCTTTAAGAGGGAGACTTTTGTATCTGTCTTGCCGGGAGGTGACTAGAAACACCAGAGAATAAGTTTGCTCCTTTCCTTCATTCCAAGAATCCAGTCTGAGCTTGGGTCATTCCATTAGGGAGTTTAATAAAAATGTTTTACCCTTGTTTGCAACAATTCTCTTGATATACATCTAAATGCACAATTTAATATATTAATAAATGGGAGTAGCATGGGCGTACACTTTTCAAAAAGCTCCTAAATAACACTATGCATTAGGATCTGACAATCACCAATAGGTTGTCACCTTCTCCTGACCTTTTAAACAGCCATTTAATCATCTTATAAGAAATAAGTAGATCTGATCTTTAGATTTATACTATGGATGATATGGTGTGCTGGCAACAGCTTTAATGTTTTTTGTTACAAATACTTAGTTCAAAGCCTTTGTTCCACACAATATAAACAACTTCTAAATGAATATATGAAAACTTGTAAGGACAAGCATGTCTTGCTCGGCAATCCCATTTTCTGACTTTACATTTGAAAGGTATCATAAAATTGAGTTTAAGATTGGGCTGGTTTGTTCCATCAATTGAATCCATAGAAACTCTTTTGGGATTGTTTGTGACAGAGTGAGCAATAAAAAACTGATCAAATATTTTTTCTCATTTTTTTTTTGGTTTTTCTTGAAAAAATTTTATCATACAGAAGATTTTTATCATTTTCATCAACAAATCTTTGCCTGCAGTCTTTCATACATGTATGATGCTGACATAAGCATTAAGATAATGTACATTGTATTGCATGAACTTGATTTTTACCACAAAGTGTGTGTGTGTGTGTTAGTGTGTGTGTATTATGCTTGTGTATGTAAGGTGATTATATATATAGATTTTGAGTGGTGAATGGGTTCTTTCTTGCCCTTAACTTGCTGGTGAACTTTTCATTGATTTTAGCCTTTGCCACCCGTAAAGTCCTCAGCATACATGTGAACTTTTTTTGATGATCGAGATTTTTCTACAAAAAAAGAGGTAGATTTTAGAATTTGCAATAAACAAAGAAGGAAATTCTTACATGAAAAATAGAGAGATTTCTTAAATTTGTGAAATTTTACCCATTATTTTAAGAAAAATCTTTGAACCTGCTCAAAGTAGGAGAGTTGAACATGTATAGGCCAGCCTGCAAATCTGTGCATACTGAGCAGGCTGTATACCGTTGGGAGCTAAACAAATTTGTATGTTGATTTCCTTTAATACTTTGAATAAACTGTTCCAAATTCAAAGCAAGGCATATCCATTTTACAAATTCCACAGGTTGAAGGTTTAGATGATACAGGTTTGTGAGTGAAAGTACATGTATAGGACTGACACACTGTTTAAGTAAATGTTAAGAAGTATAATGAATTTCTATTACAAACATGCTATGTTAATTAGGAATGTCTGACTAACAGAAACACTTGCCTGTCCACTCTCTGTGTTTGGATCCCATGGAGTCTTTGGATTCTTTTATGCTTTGATGCTATCCAGCAACTTTACAAAAGGATTTGTGGTTCTACCCAGATGTGTACTCATTCAACATCTGATTATAATTATGATGTATAAATGTCAGTGATGAATGTCAGTGGTGAATGTTGGTGGTGAATTTAAGTGTGAATGTTAGTGAGGAGTTTCAGTGATAAAAGTCAGTGATGAATGTCAGTGGTGAATGTCAGTGACGAATGTAAGTGACAAATGTCAGTGGTGAATGTCAGTGGTGAATGTCAGTGATGAATGTCAGTGGTGAATGTCAGTGATGCATGTTACTGATGAATGTCAGTGGTGAATGTCAGTGATGAATGTCAGTGGTAAATGTCAGTGATGAATGTCAGTGGTGAATGTTGGTTGTGAATGTTAGTGAATGAATGCCAGTGATGAATATCAGTGAATGAAAACATTGTCTGTTGTTGCAAGAATATGATATGTATTGTAATGTCAATGAAATATTGTATGTTTATAAAGTCAGTTGATGAAAAAGATGATTTTTTTTTTTTGAGAAAATAAGTCATCACAGTGTAAAATAATAATGTAGTTCAAAGAACTGTACATAATACAGTGAAATAATGGAACAAAACATTATGTTTTTAAATATATGGTGGCCAAAAATTGAAAATGTAATAAAAGTTAACAGTTACAGCAGATAAATTATTTTCCAAGATTGAAAGAATGTCAGTGCAAGTTTTTTGAATGTGAGGTGATATTGATTGCACAAGACAGGAGTTTTCAGACCTGCTTAAGCACATGCTGATAAATGTACATTTTAATCATATAATCTGATCCAATAATGTTAGTGGCATCGTCAAAGCAATTGTCATTCTTGATAAATAATTGTTATATTTGATATGTTAAATGTTACAGGACAATAAGTTAGCTGAGCAGAATATAATATAATTATTTAATTATATGTGATTATCATTGAATGTTATCCATAGAAATTTATTTTTACTTCACCAAGCTGGCAAAGGAGTGTGGTGGCCTTATGGTTAAGGTTTCTGCATCTCAACCCACAGATCATGGGTGGTTCGAGCCCTACTTGGGTCACGACCATGTTTCTTCATATGACACCAGTACTAGTTGGTTCCAGGAAACAGACTGGAAAGTGATTAATAACATAAGTTGCAAGAATTCACAATGGAGCTTAAACAAATATGTTTAACCTAATTTGGCAGGGCGAAAGTCTTAGAATTATATGTATCTGTTAATTATTCATCTTTTTAAAGACAGGAAAGTAGTACCAGTATTTGATTGCATATTAAAAATCAATTCAGATATCTCAATTTTTACTTTAATGGTGATACTTATTAAGATTTTACCCCAAATTTACCATACCTTTGCCTGTACCAGGTATGGTATTTCCTGACCTAAAATCATATTTTAGAAATGATGACACTATACTTTGATACTACAACATGAAAATACCTATGAATTTTGACAAATACTTTTTCACTAATTTTTCATTTGTCATGAATAATACTTTGCATGTTTTCTTATTCAAGTATAAAGTAATATTATGCTGACTCATCGAAAATGAAGAAATTGTAACCGTCTTGATTTTAATAAAAATTTTCGTAAAATTATCAAAATATAATTGTTATTATTATCAAATTATCATAATTTATTGTCATGATTATTATTATTATTATTATCATTATAATTATCATTATTGCTACTATTATCATTAGTGAAGTTAGTGAGCTTATGGTCAATGAGGGTACAGCATTGTTATCTATGTGATCTATCTATAGGCATTATTTTTATGGTATTTTATAATTAGCATGTAGCCAAATTTTTATACCTTTTTGCCTCATACATGTAATATCCTAACCTTTGACCTTAATTTTACCATATATAGAGAAATTTCCATATATAGTAATTATTTGGTATGCGTAATTAAGTTATTTAAAAAATTTATGTTTCATTTCATGAAAATTTAATAAGTGATATATTGTCAAATAAATATGATAGTAGTTTGTGAAGAACTTGACTAGTTTTAATTGAACTTGTTTATTTTACTATATAATACATTAATATACCTGTTTATTTAATTAAGATACAAGTTTTGTTACGATGCTTAAATTGAAAATACGGATTTCAAAAGAATTTTTTGCCCATATCTGTATGCCATTAATTTTGATGATGAGCAAAGCTGTACATTAAAGTAACTTAAAGGATTAAGATTGCCATGTATGGTAGTATTTGTATGGCATAATGGTGGAGATTAAGCATAAATCTGTATATATTATCCCTTATTATGCCTTAGAGATAATTATTTTTCCATACTATTATGGCATTATCATTATTTTGATAAAGCTTTAAGCTTATATTGGAATATCAAATACAGAGCTAATTAAAAAATGTTATTATGATTATGTTAAGGTACTAAAAACATTGGTACTTAATTATGTTCATTTATAAGCATCATTTGTTTGGCATAGGGCTTTGAAATTAATATCACAAAGATGAGAAAATCTTTGAGTTCATGATTTAGGGATATAAAACATCCATTGTGATCTGGCACAATTCTGCTTGTGTTAAGCCCTTAGCCAGCTGGTGGCGGCTGGACCAGTGCAGATCAAGATCGACCTGCACATTCCAGCTGTCTGGTCATGGTCTGCAGTGTTCACTATTCAGTCAGTACTAATATTTTGTTTTTTGAAATTTTCCTCCTACAAAAATAATACATCGGTGTGTAGTTTGAAAGGTGGATTAGTCCATTTAATGTATTAAGTGTTTTAAAGTTTGAATTAAAAGATGATCAATGATTATCATATTACGAATGTAGGTTTAATGTATTAAGAAGAAATGTTAGGTATATTACATGTGTAGAGGCTATGTATGTTCCGAACTAACCCTTTTTACTTGTTTACTTGTTTCAGAGCTCCCTGGCAATTTAGGCGAGATAACTAGCAAAGTTACAGAGCTTCCGTCTAAGTTGGCCCAGGGTGTGGGTGAGAAATGTGCCCTCCAGTAGGCGCACATTTAATCCCCGCCCCCGTACATGGCGGCTAACATTCCATCCTGTAAGTGTCACTGCATGTGGCTGACTTCGCTAGCTTTAACCATGATCCGGCACTTGACTCAGCACAACTAAATTTAGTAAAAAAAAAAAACCAAAAAAAAACGTTCACTATATAGTGTATGTGCCCTATTATACCATTTGACTTTTACCATAAAATTTTATTATATGTATATGGCAAGCAAATCAAGTAGATATAACTCTCTAATTTCAAAATTAAATTCACATGATATCTTTTTTTCATAAATATATACTTTTAACAGAGGCAAAGAATAAAAGTAAGTTTATACTATGAATGCAAGGATAATTTACAAATGAAGAAATGAGCCATTTTTGCCCTTGTTTGCAGTGATGGGTGATGGAGAGAAGGGGAGGGGGTGGGGAATAGAGGAGTTTTCTCGTTCTGGACTCAAAATTGAAAAACAACCAGTTTTATGCATCAATGCTTTCTTGCTTACTTTTGTATATAGGCCTCTGAAATGAAAAACTTACATTGGCATTTGGCTTGAAAATTTGAATTGTATGGTTGATTTACTGATTTTGCTTTATTGTAATATTAAAAATAAATGTAAAACAGTAAAAGTCAAATGGTCGAGGCACTTTGCAATTCATCACTCCAAAATTAAAAAGGCCATTTTACTAAGGCACAGTTTAGTGTTGTTTTTACACAACTCATTAATATCACTCTTGTTTCATGTTAAATAAAACGTCACCAATTGCACTAAAAATAGAATGTTATTAAATACTGTTGATCAAATTAATTCTTCCGTTGTCGTCTTTAAAGAAGAAAATTGAAAATAATGACACAAAAAATATGTGTTAGGCCACAAAAGAAATTTTAGGTGAGTTATTTTCATGAGAAAAGATGCCACATCAAAGAATTGTCAAATGTTCATTCTTTTATTAAATTATTTATAATTTAAACCTTTCATTATACTAACCGACAGTAAAAGCCAGGCAAGTCTGTAAACTGTATATTCTTTTATTACATTTTCTGAAAAAGGGGGCGCAGTCTGATCAGGATCCATGCTGTTCGCTATCAGTTTCTCTACTTGTAATAGGGTTGGTAAGCGAACAGCATGGATCCTGATCAGAGTCGCAAACCCATTATTATGTTGGTTTTGTCATAGCGCGGCTCATATCTGTTTTTAAAATTCTTTAATTAATAACAAACCATTCCCATTTCATAGCAAAGTACATAAAAAAATTTTTTTGCTAAAATGAACAAGTTAATATCTGCATTTAACTGGAAAACTTTCAAACTTGTGTAAACTGGATAAATTTAAGAACAAATAGCAATTAAAGTTATTCTAATAAACGTGAAATGTTAGATATTTGTTTTGTTTCTCTAACTTTTAATTTGAAAAGTTAAGTACCGACAAAAAAATTACATTAGAACATAACTGAGTGAGAATTTCTGTCATACGAGAAGTTAATGTGTTGAAAACAATCAAATTTCTCTCTTATTTTTGTGCAATTTTAATACATTAATTTTTAGAAAATTCCCTATAGAATTCAGTAATGAATATTAAAAATTAAGCCAGAGAAAAATTTTTATTTAATTTTTCGGTTAATTAATTTTTTATGATGATGACAACTCTTTGAGAAGTTTGATTTGAGGCAGTGTTTGTGGGAAACTTGTGACCGAAATTGTGTTTGTTGGATATTTGCGACAGAAATTTAGCATTTGATAGATTTTTTTATTCGATAGATTCTTAATAGTAAGATTCTAGAATTTAAAAATATGAAAATATAGAAACATAACTCTTGAAGAAGCATTGTAATACTTTGTAAACAATTTTATAGAATTATGATGACTTTAAATTAACAAAATAGCAAGAGTCATGGCCCCTCAGGACAAATAATTTTGAAACAGTCAGTGTTAAACATTTAAATGTTTAAAGGCTGTGTAAGAAAAATTTATGAGCTGCGGCAGTGAGACTGTCTAAAAAATTCACTGGCTAAAAAGATATTTGAGAATTATTGTTTTGTCCCAACGAACAACAATGTTTTTAATGATAATTACTCGCCTAGTTAATTCTTCCAGTATTTAGCTAAATCTGCGCTTATCTACGCTCTATATATTGTTTCCTACACAATTTTAGTTAATCGATCAGTGCACTCACTGTGAATCAGCGAACCTCAGGGTTCGATTCCCAGATGATGCAGATTGTGATTGATCATGAAATCTTTTCTACGGCCATTCGCGCTGCACCTCTGCTCTGGCATGTACAGAGTTAACTGTTCTCAGCAATAGTGCTGACAATTTGTACTGGTTAATTGCTTGACAGCCTATTTAAATTGGCTTACTGCCGTGATTTTTAAGGTGGATGGGGGGATGGGGGTAATCTACCAACACTGGGATCATTAAAATATTGTAAAGAAGAACAAGTTTCAAAGATCAGTTTTTCATTTCAAAAAAATACTCAGGATTATTAAGACAAAATAAAAAAACAACTCCATATCTCTTTTATTTTCATAGCTTATTAACCATGTCATTTAATAATTAATATCAATAATTGTACAATAATTTATTTAATTGTTTGGATGAAAACACTGATATTTTCTAAAATTTATCACTAAAAAAAATATTGATAATTTGATAAACCAATACCTGATTTCTGTTAAATAGAACAAAATTAATGCATGGGGGGATTGATTTTAAGGAATTTATTTTTGTTGTGTGAATTTTAAACATTTTTCAATCCAAACTGAATTAAAAGAAATAATGAATAGACCAGCTTAGCTTGTAAAATATCGAAGGTTTAAAAGGAGATCCACTAAGGTTCAAAAAGATAAAAATATGAAAATTAAAAAATTCTTGCATAGAGAAATGGTGGCACTTAATTGAGAAATATAAAGGAAAAAATATTTTAAAGAAGTATACTCAGAACTGAATTTAAAAAATAATGTACGTTTTAGCCCAATTTTAGTTAAAAATGTGTAAATGCTTTTCATTTTTGGGTGATTTTGCACAATTTAAATGAATATTCTTGGAAAACCTAGTGTCAGCTACTGATCTGAAGTTATGTATTGGTCAAGATTTATATCAATTGGTACTCAAACATCTAAAAAATATTTCCAGTCCCGCCATATCAAAAAACCTTTAAGAATAGGCGCCCTTATCCAATAAAATTTAAGAAAAGAAAAAAATCTTAGGTTTAGCCAAATATTTGAAAAGAAAAGAAAAAAACTCAATCAGTATAAACTTGCAAAAGTATCAAAAAAAACAATAACGTTAAATAAATTCATTAATTATCCTAGATTTTCTATGACAAGGTTTGTACTTTGAAAATATTTCATCCCCCCCCCCTCCCACTACCCCATATAAATGATCATTATATAAGTGTTTTTGTTTCATAAGGTAAGATCAATGTGCTGGAAATTTTTTAATGGTAAAAGCAGTGAAAGTGAGCCAGTATGTGTGGGCTATACATGTGTGAACTTTGTTTTAGTATATTTCCTAGTATATGTAATATGTTTCACTAGCCTGCACCCATATTTTTATAGCCAATTTCATTTTTTCAGGAAATTCAACTTTTCAGGCACCTCACCAAAACGAGGCTATAATCAGCTGTGTATTACTTAACTAATTGCGAAAGGGTTGTAACTCATATTAAATAAAGAAGGAGTTACAATCCTTTTGCACCAAGCTGTGGTAATGTTAAGTACTAAAATTACCTGCTTTTACTCCACCAAATATTAAGTGATTAAGTACCTAAATATTAATTCACCACCAAGCAATCAATAAATAACAATTATTTTTGCAAATACATTAATGATTTATTTATTATTATAAGAAATCACTTATTTTAAGAATACATCACTTATTTTGAATTATATTATAAAAAATACATTATTTATTTTCATAAGTTATCACTTTCTTTTAAAAAATACATCACTCTTTAAGATAAAACACTTATTATTAAGCTTATAAAAACATCACTGTTGTTTTTTAAATTCAAAGTGCTGTCAATTTGCTCAGCACTTAAATATTTTACCATATGTATAATGGAACACATTTTTAATTAATACACCACCACATGTTTATACCACCACTTAAAGTAAACAAAGTCATCACTACTTATATACAGTGTATACTAAATTTAATGAACGAGTTGAATAATATGGTTTTATTCAACGAGTTCAATAAATTTAGCATTGAATCTGCACGAATATAATATTCTTTTTATCACATATATAAAATGAGAGCAGTACTGGCATGCGAGCAGTTCCCGTACAAAAATCATAGTTACTTAAACATTATTTTTTATTACGCTCACTCACCAAAATTTGAATGTTACACATCAATATTCAGCTCGTCACACAAATCATGGAAATTCCATCATGTTCTAAACATAGTATAACCCTTACTTATGAGGCCTCATATGGGGTACCGAAATTATCCATTATTTTGTATGAAGAGAAGTAGTTCCCGTACATAAAATCTAACCCATTATAATTATACAATTTTATTATATCGGACCTATTTTTTATTTACAATTGTTGAACAGACCATTATCTAAGAGATAAATAGATGCAATTCAGGAAATAGAGCGTAGACTAAACGCGGGTATCAATTACCCGGTACCGTTACCCCAACGCATTCACATGCAATAGCATGCTTGTATGCATGATATTTTACGCATCAAAGCCATAAAATTATTATATATAGTAATATTGGTCAACATTCTGATAATTAAACAAGTTTACATCACATTGCCTACTTATTTGTAAACAGGTGGTATTAGTGGAAAACCCTTTAACAAGCCTCACGTGTAAGTATTTTTGCGCATGCGCACAAGGACGGAATCCCCCAGAGAAAACAAGGTCACGTTTTGACGACGCACAGGTGAAAGTGATTTAAAATGGGACTTTATATACGTACTGCCGAACTGACACTTAGATTTTGTCTCGTTTATGTATCTGCTTGATTTGAAATTAATTTTTGAAGAATGCAAGTAAAAATCAAGCGTTTAAATGAAAAATACGGGTACTGCTTCTGTACGGGAACTGCTCGCATGCCAGTAAACTGTTAAAATGAGTAATTTTTCAATGACGCGCCTATAGTGTAAAGCTAACATTAGCGCGCTTTAACGCTATGTTTCTATATAGCGCAAATGACGTCACGTCAAAGTGTTATTACACAAGTGTAATATCGTTTTTATTAAATGGCTTTATTACACTCCTGCGCCGCGTTTTATGTGATAATTTTAAATATTAAATGACTTAAATAATTCTTTTTTACACAATATCATCATTTAAGTACTGAAATATTCTTTTGTAAGTACTGAAATAATCTTTTGTACAGATCAAAATACATATTGATTTGAAGTAATATACATCACCATTTATGATGTACTTAAATCATCAAATATATTTCATGTGTTATCTTCTTTATACACCACTAGATATATTTTTTTCATTTCACTTTATACACCACTAAATACAATCACTGTAATAGCATTAACCCACCACTAAATCATCTTTTTAATACTTCACTTATCATTAAAAGCTTTTATTAATTTTAAATTTCTTGTGACCCACTAAATGTTAAAGTGTTCAGTACTTAAAAATGAATCATCTTTTTAATGCACCACCAGATATTAAAAGTTGCATCAAGACATGACTAAATATTCAATTTCAATATTAAGCATCTACATACATCACTCCTTTAGTGCTTAAATCAGTAATCTTTTTTGATAAACCACCAAATATTATAAGTTTAAGAAAACCACTTAAATTCTAATGTTAAGTACTTAAAACATCTTTTTAATATGGTACACCACCGAATATAAAAAGTTTAGATATTCCTTTTATGTAAAGCACTAATAAATCATGATTACTTTAGATATTCCCTTTAGACAACCACTAAATGTTGAGTATATAAACACATATTCAAATACCATGAATAAGGGCCTGCAATATTTCTTGAAATGCATCACAAAATGAAATTTACATGATCAAATACACTACAAAATGATATGAACAATACATTTACAAAACATCAATAAATATTGATTTATTAATTTGTCAATTGAAATATTCTTTTTATTATACCACCAGTAAGGAGAGTGACTAAAGGTTTGTGAGTTTGAGCCTTGACACAGAACATGGAGCATCCATGGCAGAGCGGTTAAAGTCATTAACTTCAAATTTGCCCTATCTCTCAGTGCTGTGTCTGAATCCCACCAGGGACTTTAACTACTTTTATGTGAGGAACCTTATAATCCAGCTAGCTTATGGAACATAAGTAGTTATATTCGGGTACCAGTTAAATGTTCCTGAAATAATGCATTAAGTGGCACCTGAGGACTTTCTCCACCAGTAAAGCTGATAAGCATTTGAATATTGTTTTAACACATTTCTGAATTTTATAAGGCCTGAATATTCTTTGCGATACACACTTTAAATATTACTTGAATACTACACTACACTGCACACTAAAATACTGAAATATTCTTTTTCTATAAGGCAATTGAAATCACTTAAATCATTCCTTTTATGTACCACTGAATATACAATACATGAATATTCATTAAGTACACCACTAAATATGTATATTTACACTAATTGCTCAGTATACTGGTTGGTTGGTTCCTGAGGAATATATTCAAAAGTGTGTCCTATAAGTTTTCTTCACACTCAAACTAAAATAAATTCTGTATAAACTAAATAATTACATTACATATAATAATATATTGCAACCAATATGTTATGACACGCATTTTATTAAGATCAGAGACATATAATAAGTATATAGTGTCTATGGTTAAAGATCAAGTGATAATTGGCTATTTAGATGTTGTAAGTTCAGTGGCTTTGCTAGTACCTCTTTATTTTTTTTTACATGTGTATGTATCACATATATTTATTTTTTGTATTTTGTTTATTTTAATATTAGAGCTACATGTATTCCAATGTTCAACATTTTTTGAAGAGTCACCAGATTTTTCCCCACCTCCACAGTGTATAAAGTTTATTTAGTGCACATAGATGTCCTACATTGGCAACAGATGTAGAGTTCTCTATATTTTGAATAGTTCATTTAAAACACAAATTCGCACATAGGATACTGAATAGTTTTAGATATCATGACAATCTAATTTTGAGTATTCTTTTTGTAAAAAAAATTCATACCTATCTGGTCCACTTTAATGTAGCCCTCAAATTATTTACAAAATTTAACTCATCTTTGAATATCCCAAGAAGAATATGGGTATTTCTCTCATTGTTACCAGTAATCCTACAAAATATAATATAAATACGGTAAATATTATGTATTTATTAAACTAAGTCTCGTACCCTGTTGTATAAAAAATTTTCTTGATAGGACTTGATAGGATCAAATTCATCACTGTTCAATGTTAGTATATAGGATTTAAATGTCAAATCCATTATAGTCCGAAAACAATGGTGTACACTTTGGCACTTTGGCTGGGCTCTTTACTAATGGCATAAGGGGAACATTATGGCAACCTAGAGCTCTGAAAGGTTAAATAGCACTAAATCTGGCCACTTACGATAAAGCTCTCAATCTGACGAAAGAGTTATGAAGTGCTATATCTGGCATACGGTTATGAAGGGCTAAATCTGACCAAAGGGTTATGAAGTGCTAAATCTGACCAAAGGGTTATGAAATGCTAAATCTGACAAAGGGTTATGAAGTGCTAAATCTAAAGATGTTTAAACCATATGCCATATCCCTGTTTTTTTTGTGTGTGAGCATGCATGTGTATTAGTTATAGATCACAAATATGGTATGATATTATAAATATTGTATGCTTTGTTCAATTAAAAGTATAAAGTATAATATTATTATTCAGGTTAAAGGTTATTGAACTGTATTTCAAAGTTTTCATCTTTATGCTCAGAGAAAATCATAAGAAAATGAACCATGTTCTTAATAACTTTTTGATACATACATAATTTTATTTGAATTGTTTACTGTCCTGGATTTGCTCTCAGCTAATATAATAGTGAAAGGCAACTTTAGGAAATTGACGAAACAGTATTACATAAATTTAAGTAAACTTATGAAATAATTCAGATTGGAATTACTGTTGTATACTTTTAACATGGTATATAAACTATGATTTTTTAATAGACTTAAGATATCATAATATATACTTGGATATATTTTTAAATAGTCTTATGAGATATCAATTTATTGATTAAGTAGACTTAATATATGATTATGATCAACCCTTGGAATTATTTTTTTTTCCCTGTATATTTCAGGAGGTCCTTTAAATCAAAACATGCAACTTTCTTGATGACTGTTCTGTAATCCTGCTCAGGAATTGGATTTTAAATAAAAAGATATCAATGTTTTTTGAAAACATTGAGAAAAAAAGAAATTATGCAATTAAAATTTACTTTTAAACGTTCAAATATTTAGAGTGAAAAATGTTGTGACAGTGTATGTTAGATGGTTTTTTAGCTTAAAAATTGTAAATAGACGAGAAATCAGCTTAATAATGATGTTATCACCCACAACTGACCATAGATTACATAACTTTCCCCTTATGTGCCCTCGCAATTTTTCTTGTTTTTTTCCTTTTTCTTTCTCATGTTACATTGCTTTCAAAGAAATGGCTCGTAATTTGTAATTTGTATTTTGCCATTATCTTTAATACTATACATTCATTGGTAATATGCTAATACTTTTTCTAGAAAAGAACACTAACATAATGAATGGCCATGTTTATTTTGCAATGGTTTGTTGGAAATTAGAAATAGCAGCAGCGTATCAGGAAATAATATAGTTGTTGTTTGTTATATTGTCATGGTAGCCATCATAGAATTAAATGATTCTATTTGATTATCTCAAAACATTGTCATCAACTTGTCTCCAGCCATTTTTCCTAATTCACTAAAGTGGTGATATGAAATCACATTTGATCTCCATTGTGTATTATGGGAAATGTACCGAACCAATCCAAATGTTAGTGCAAACTTAACAGTACAGTACAATTTCAAATGCTATGTCCCTGAACAATACAAGTTGCTGTTTTATATGGAAATTCTACAGAATCTCTTAAAAAAGATATCATTGAGTTGCAATGCAGCTCCATTAATGTTCAAAGTGGGTGGGGTACTCAGCATTTTCAAACTGGGTGGGGTAGTCAGCATTTTCAAAGTGGGTGGGGTACGCATCATTTTCAAAGTGGGTGGGGTGTTCACCATTTTCAAAGTCGGTGGGGTACTCACCATTTTCAAAGTGGATGGGGTACTGAAAAATATGTAGCAGTTCCTTTTTGTTCTTAATTTTATAAGAAAGCTTTCAGCTACAGTACATTTTCAAAATGTGTATATTTATTTGACTACTTTTACAATCTTTTCAAAGTGGATGGGGTACAAAAATAATGTAACGATAATTTAAAAGTTTCAGTTAAAAATATTGTATTTAATTACAACTACTTTTAATTACATATTTGTTCATTTAACCCTTTCCCCCATGAGCATATTGTGAAAAATGGCCATTTTCACTGAAAAGCCTCCTCTAACAAGTTCAAACTGCTATGAAACTATGAAAAATGCTTCAATACTAATCAAACTTGGCACAAATGTTGACTGGACCATTGCCTTTGTAACGACATGCTCAGTCTTAAATTTCCTGTTACCATGGCAACGAGGGGACATCTCAAAATTGCCAAAAATCACTTTTTTGCCTCGATTTTTTCCATCAAAATTTACTTCAAAGTGCTGCAACTTCTCAAGGGATTGAGATAGAGTCAAAGGCTTTTCAGCGTTGGTTACACGTTACCTTATGATCAACCTGGGGTCATTTCAAGCCTCTCACAAGTCCAAAATTTTCTTGGCGATGAGGGGGACTCTGCCCCCCTTCAAACCCCCCAAACAGAAGGGGGCACATCCCCCTTCTGGCAACCCCCTGATGTATTATTTGGATGGGGGACGGCGCCGAAAAAATGGTCACTTTTTTTTACAACATTTCTCAAACGAAAAACAGTGTTTGGGGTCTAAATAGGATATTTTTTCACTGTTTGAGGCCTCAAAAAGGGGGGGGGGGGGTCAAAAAGCCGTCGAAACACGCTTATATAAGGGAAAAGGTTAAGAGAATTTCAACATAAATAAAGTATCATTTTTGCTATCTTTTCTTCTCAGATATTATAATTATCTTTCAATATTATCTCAAAATTATTCTTACACATGGTAAAAAAAAATGTGTTTTCTTTTTGGAACTATTTTTCTGTATAATTTATTCATATATAGTTAAACTACATTTGTATTTACTCTTAATAAATAAGTTAATGAATATTCAACTTGAAATTCAAGTATTGTGAAACTTGTAATTCATGTAAAACAAGTACCGGTAATATTAATTACATAAATTACTGTTAATTATTTGTTTTGTAAAACCAATTTGAATTTGAAAATTGTTACTATTAAACACAGTTTCAATCCATGACAGCTTGGTGAAAATATTATCTTTGAAGTATTCAAAATTGTATTCTGTTTTAAAGCAACTTGTTGTAAAAGACCTTGATTTAAGAATATATTTCAGTTTCAGAGTGTTTTACACCAATGTATTTTATAATAGGATGAATTGATAATTAAGTGTTGATTTTTATTCTCCCAGAACATTTTTTCCAAAACATGAACAGTTGAATTATAGTATATAATATGTTAATATTGTATAATAAGTGAATGTTATTAAGTTAAAGTTAATATTATTGAATTGAAGTAAATGTTATTATACAAGAATTATAAATATGTTTCTGTTCTGATGATGATGGTGTTTTGATAAGTTTTGTAAATGAGTCACGTCACAATAAATGGCACCACAATAATAGATGGTGAAATGATGTCACAAAAATGAAGCGATATTACTACTTTAATATAAGTATTAATTTTTGTGGTCCATTTGGAAGTCCACCACTTTTGAGTATTGAGAATTAAGTACCGCTCATTCCGGTACTAGGGGATGTGAGGGATGTTGCACTTTTTCATTATCCCTCACGTAGTCAGACTCAATCAAACCGAGTCTGCAATTTTCATGCAATTTTGCTGTTTTTAATACTTCTGGGGGATTACTTTTTTCCAGGTATTAGTTCGGATATGTACATGTAATTTGTATTTCAAACATATCAAATTATCTCAGATATCTGAAATATCATCTGTTGACATCAAAATAAACGGAAGTTAAAGAAACCGAGGTTAGCAAGTAAATAATAAAAGTGCCGATTTTTCATTGGAACTGCATTCATTACTTGATTTTATTTCTGCAAAAATACCCTTAAATGATATTTTTGAAATTGACATTTTAAAAAATTAAAATTCTCCTAGACAGTGTTAAATTTTAAAGTTAAAATAATGTGAAAAGCCTGATATTGTTGCTATTTATGTGAGGTACCATTTTATTGTGACGTTTCTCATAGTGTATTTTATGTAATATATAAATATATACGTGTTTCTGTAGATATATTTAGCTAGCTTGTACGTTCAAATTTTTTTTGATGTCCGAATAATATGTTTTACTGATATTGTCATACTTTATGTAACATGTAACTAATATACATTGTACCTTAGACTTTAAGGAGTTGAATCCATTTATAAAAATATACTAAAGTGATATGGGCAAAATTTGCCTCCCAGTTTTGAATAGCAGAAGTCAGTGTCCAGGTTTGCGGATTGTTTTATGGCGAGAGAATAGGAATTGTCTGTTGCTTCTGAAAATTAATCCATCAGTTAAACAAATTAAGTTTCAGTTTTAAGAGACGTCTTAAGTGTAATTTCCTTGTTTTACTAAAACCTATACAAAAATTAGTGTGAAAATTGGAATTTGATCACTCCCAGCTAGTTTACAGTTGTATAACATAATTTCACCGATATATCTCAATCATCCACGGTCGGCCAAAAGCATTTTGTGTAATGCAAGACTGATACACTTTATTGTCTAATAATTTGAAAATTCTACGTTTAAGAAATTTTCCAGATACATAAAATTTACTGATGTTTATAAAAATAAACAATTATTTTCTTTCTTAATGGACAGGACATAATGTGACATAAAACGAAATGACATTCAACTCACGATTGGGGTAGAATTTAGGACACCTGACAATATATTGATGTAAAAACTTAATTGTACCACAGGTGTAATTAACAATACTTAAGTTAATTTAATATTTTACTCCTATTTTGTTTCAAGTGTGATTAAAAGAAAATGAATATCAAATGATATTGTAAGAGAAAAAAATACTGTCCTACAGGAAGTAGATGAGTCGCAATCAATTTCTGTCCTAATTCAGAAAAAGAAATCAGGGTCTTTATTTTTGTTTTTCATTTTACATGACATACATGTATTTATGGATGGAACATCTTAAAGAGAATTGAGACATTATGTTTCAGAACATTATTTTGTGTTTGTCTGGATATCCGTTAAACAAGGTTACCCAGAGCAACTTTGTGCCCAGACTGCGGTAAACCATTGGAGAGTAGTAACAGATTTTCTGAGATGAGATTTTTAGCTGTATAAAATATTAAAGTATATATTTTTGGTCCCACCTACGTTAACAAAGTATTATTTCAGGAAATCCCACTGAAAATTTTTAACTTTCTATCTTACAAACAAAATTATATATTGCCAATGGAATCTTTAGTATTGTTTATCAAAAGGTATTTTAGGAGTTTGAGTTGAAACTTTTAACATGCTTGATTGAATGTATCTATAAAATCCAATCTTCAAAAAAAGGGGAAAAAATAGATTGTCTTTTGCACATGTATTAAAGTGGAAACTGGAAAATGCATAGCTTTATAAAAAGTCATTTTCTCGTGATGATCTCATTTCAATGTGGAATGGATTAAAATGAAAAAGATGTCATATTGTCATTGAAAGTATATGTCAGTTTGGAAAAAAGGTCAAAGCTCATTTTAGGCTCATTATCTGTTTTCATTTTTGTTTGCTCTGAAACATATGAAACATTCCTTTAGTTTTTAGCTTTACACAATCGAAGATTTTGTCTTAATTTTACGTAAAAAAAAAAAAGAACGACAACAAAACATTCCATTTGTCATACCTTGGCTTTAAATATAAATCTGGGGATTTTTATGGCTTGCGATATTATGTAAAGTTTTAAAACTTTGAGCAGTGTGGTCGACTGGCAATTATTTGACCGACAAGTTTGAACCCTGTTTGGATCCTGTTGTTTTCTTGAGCAAGAAATTTTAACCTTTATTGTTTTCAGTACAGGTTAGTTCCAGGAATAGACTTGCCTTTTTAAATAAGCTGTAGTGGTTTATTCACAATTGAGTTTAAACTATGTATAAACTAATAATTATGGTTTGTCAAAATAGAATTAAAGAAAAAAACCTGATTGATAATTAATATTTTGGAGAATTAAATTAATATTAAAATGTCATGGTTAATTAAGGGTTCTTTTTTTACATGATTAATTTTGCTAGTTGGATTAATAGTATAATATTATAAAGTGGAATAAATTAATATATAATTATACTGATAAGTAATGATATATACATGTAGATATATACTTATTTTTATTTATTTATTTTATTCTGTCTCTCTTATTTGTAGTCCTTCTTCAAGGCTACAATGTACTTGATTGTAATCTTAGTCTGTTATGTGATACTTTAACTATTCTTAGAATTTATAAAAAAAAAAAGTGTATATAATTTAATAGATAGAGACAAAATGTAAAATTGATACTTGAAAAACAAAATGTGTCCAAACCGGCTATTCTGCACCCGATCTTTCCCTCTAGTTTCTGTCAGAGCTTCATAGGATGATTGTTATTTGAAGGAGGTAATACTTTATTTTATTCTCATGCCTAACAAATGCCTCATCCTTACTAAAAAAAACAAAAAAAAACAACACTTTCGGGCATAAAATGCTCCGCCTAGCGGTGCTCTTGTGTTTTTTTTGTTTGTTTTTTTATATATTGAAATCTCTTTTACTTACAATGAACTGTCCCAAATTCAAAGCATAAGGCAAGACTAGTATATCATACAAAATTTAATGTAGCAAAGAAATCAGTAACACTCAGGATTTGCCTTGGTTAGAAAATTCTTTTTAGCTAAATTTGACAAGAAATTCTGTAGCCAGTTCATAAATTCTTGAACGGTGTATAGAATGTTAGCAAATGGCTGAAATTGCTAATGGCAGAATGAGCCCTGAGACTTAAGGAAAGTAATGGTTGTCGTTTAAGATACGAAATTTGCCTATGTTTTACTCAATACTACTCAAGTTATGTTGTGTTTATTTTACTCATTTTTGGTGCATTTTTATGTTTTTTTGCCACATATTATTTTGTAAAGATTGATGCAGAAATATTATTTTAATACATCAAGATACATGTATATATAAATATGCTTTTTGATTTAATTGAGCTCATATGCCTTCAATGTACATGTATACATGCATTACTGTTTCTTTATATAATGTGCAATAGTAAATATTTTC